ACTGCCACTGTCACTGTGATAGCACTGCTACTGTCACAGCACTGCCACTGTCACAGCCACTGTCACAGCATTGCCACTGTCACAGCACTGCCACGGTCACAGCATTGCCACTGTCACAGCATTGCCACTGTCACAGCATTGCCACTGTCACAGCACTGCCACGGCACTGCTGTTGTCACAGCAGCACGGGCTGGCCACACGCAGTGCCACTGTCACTGTCACAGCACTGTTACTGTCACAGCACTGCCACGGTCCCAGCATTGCCACTGTCACAGCATTGCCACTGCCACAGCATTGCCACTGCCACAGAACTGTCACAGCACTGCCACTGTCACGGCACTGCCACCGTCACAGCAGCACAGGCTGGCCACAGGCAGTGGCACCACCACTGTCACTGTCACAGCACTGTCACAGCTGCACTGTCACAGATACACTGCCAATGTCACTGTCACAGTGGGACTGTCATTGTCACAGCAGCACTGTTACTGCGACTGTCACTACCGCACTGTCACTGTCACAGCAGGGTTGCCACTGCCACAGCAGCACTGCCACTGTCACAGTAGGACTGTCACTGCCACTGTCATAGCGGGATTGCCTCTGCCACTGTGGGACTGCCACTGTCACAGCATTCAGGGATGTGCCAGCTCCCCCAGGGATCTCAGGAAGGTGACACCTCAGCCCAGGGAGCCAGGGCTGGGACACATCCCGGGTGTCACCCCCACACCTTCCATTGGCACTGGGGCACGGCAGAGCTCCCCTGGGGCAGTGATTAACAGGATTTAATAATTACGGGGAGAATCCTGCTGGTTCTCCCCTGTCCCCTCCCCAGCAGGGCCACCAGAGGTGCTGAGGCTCCTGAGTGCCCCAAAACCGAGACAAAGATCCCAAAATCGGGACAAAGATCCCAAAAGGCAGCCAGGCCAGGGCTGGGCTCACCCCCAGCTGCTCCTCCAGAATCAGAATTTTCTCCTGAATAACCGGAGGGGATCAACCCCAAAGCCCAGCCAGGGAGGAGCCAAACCCCTGCAGCCCCCATGGATCCAGAATCCCGAATTCCAGCCCTGCTCCTGGAGGAACTGCTCAGCCTCACCTCAAAGCAGCTGAAGCATCACAGATTATTATTATTATTATTATTATTATTATTATTATTATTATTATTATTATGTCCAGGAAAAAAAAAATCTCTTCATCTGAGTGTTTTAAATTTCAAAATTTAACTCTGCTCCATTTTCAATTAACTGCCCCTGAAAGTATTTTTTATTGAGCGGCTTTGACTGCAAAAGTTCAATTTTGCAGAAAGACAATTTTGATCTTTCCTGCTAAAAGGCTACAATAGATAAAAATTACAAAATATCTGATAGATAAACAGTAAATCATCTGTTTTGAGTCAGATCTATGGCCAAAAGCTCTTCTAAATGCAAGCATGGCTGGAAAAAAATAAAGAAAATTAATTTAACTTCATTTTCCCTCTAAAACTCCTCTACTTATTAACTCCCTCACTGAAGTCATAACCTTGTGTAAAATCCTGATCATTGCTAAAAAAATATGAGATTAAGGCTGCATAATAAATAAAGATGCAAAGATGCAAAATTATAGTTCATTTGGGTAAAATATCATCACCTGGAGGAAAAAGCAAAGCAGTTTTGGACTGAAATACTTGCTGGGGTCCTCACAGGAAACATTTTGGTTCAGACACAAAAAAAGCCAGGGTAAAATATAATTTGTGAGCTCAACTGTGCCCTCTCAGAGCTCCAGTTTGTTGTGTTACAACGTCTAAGGAAAATTATTTTACTGAATGGAACAAAGAAATTAAACATATTTCCCCCAAATGAAGCCATTGCTAAACCCAGAAGTTGCCCAGGCAGAATTTCATTGGAAAGAACATCCTGGATGATCTCTCACTGTTGTTTTACAGCAGCAAGGCTACTTTTCCTTTAAAAGAAAGGAAACAAAAGGGATCATTTCCCCTCCGGATTCCACCCCTGCATTTTCCCAGCTGGGACATCAGTGAGTTTGCTTTCAACAGCAACAGAGACACCGAGGTGAGCCCTGGACACCCAGCACTGCCCTGGTGTCCCATGTCCCTGTCTGGCTTCTCCTCATTGCCAAATACTTCAAACCACAAACATTTGGTAGCCACAACCTCCTTGACCAAGTGGCCACCCTGAGAAGGAGGAAAAGCTTTCTTTGCCCCAGGAAATAAATGGAATTATCACTATCTGCTTAAGGATCCTTGGCTATGGGCTGGTGGCTGCTGGGTGAGGTTACAAGGCCTGGCTGCTGCACAAAGGCTGTGGGCTCTGCTGGCTCTCAGACTGAGCAATAAAAGGTTCTTCTCCTTTTCTTTCCTTCTTTTCCTGGTCACACATCTGGGTTGGGAGCCTGTGCTCGTACTGAGCTCTCCACAAGCCCCAAGAGCTCCATCAGGAGACAGGCACAAGGCTCCTGTTCCACCCGCAGCTCAGCTCCCTAAATAAATCTGGAGCATCAAAGGGATCCCAGCACGACAAGGGAACCCCAGAGAGTGCATTTAGCACGGACACACACACAGAGCCCAGCCCTGCACAAACAAACTCCATCCCAAACCCTGCAGGATGGCTCACAAACCCTGCAGCACCCAGAGCCCATGGCATTGAACCCAGCTGCTTCACCTGGCTGCCAGCAGGAAATTCAAACAGCACAATCTTGCTCCCCGAGCTCACCCAAAGCAGCTCAAGGCCCCAGAGGAAAAAGGCAATCCCCCAAAAATGAGTGTGTGCTGTCCATGTGGGACTGAAGGTTACTGACCAGTGACCAATTCCAGTTCCAGAGTAATGAGCATCCATAAAACCCACGCTGCAGATACAGCATCACCAATGTGGGATGTGGTGATACGTGTTAATCACTTCTTTTTATTTTTAAGAACAAAAACCTCTTTCAAGGGCAAGAATAGATCTGAGGTTCTCCTCTGCTCCACTGAATTTATGCGGTTTACGCAACCCCTGCATGTGCAAGAACACAGACTGGGGAGGAAATGTGCTTTACACAAGTGAGTAAGAGCAGAAAAATCAACTTTGTATCAGCAGAAAGGCTGAACCCGAAGGCCCACAAATCTCCTCTTCCCCCAGAAGCAGGAATAAATCAAGACTCCACGGAAAAGGAGAAGCAGCCCCGAGTCTGGGTGACACAACCCACACCCCACCCAGTGTGGGACCCCCCTTCCCCAAGGCACCATCCAGCAGCATTTCCTCTGCTCCCTGCTCCGGCCATTCCACAGAAACCAAAACCACTCTGTGCCACCACGACAGCCACGACTGGGCTGGAAAACTGAGACCAACTCCTTTTTTCCACCCACACCAGCGGGTCCAGCCACGAGGGACACAGGAACCGAGGCCCAGGAGCTCCAAGGAACAGGCCCCAGATCCCCACGGGAGCAGCCAAACCTGCCCAGAAAATGTCTCTGAGCCGGCTGATTTCACAGGGGGAGCCTGTTACAAAAGCTGCCGCTGACCTGAGGTGTGCAGAGAGCTCACTGCAGTCTGCAAACCTGGGCACAGGGATCGGGCCACGCTCCACAGGCCACGCAGCCGGGAAATGCTGAAAAGGAGAACGGATTCAGTGCGTTCTGCAGGGAAAAACCCGGGCTGGGCCAGCAGGAAATGCGTTTTAAGGCTGAATATGCCCAAACTCCAGCGGAGAGAGCAGCCTCGAAGGACAGCAGCTTCTCAGACAATGCAGGAATCTCCCTGCAGAAGCCCAAGTACATTTTTTTTTTCCCCTCTGGCCTCCATCTCTGCCACAGCCAAGCAGCAATCCAAGGGAACGCCATCCATCACCATTCCAACCCCAGGGCTTGCCACAGGCCAGGGGAGACCCGCGGGGCTTACAAAGGCTTTTGTTTTGGCTAATTCCGAGCAACACCTCGGAGTGCAAACCCTGCCCTGCAGTATTTGCAACCCAAATATTGCAGCACTGAGCTAATTTCGGGGAGCTGGCACACACACAACCGACTACTGGAGTAATCAGAGCAAAAAAATGAAGGCGAGCTAAATTTAGGAGTAACTATGCGATGCAATATTAATAACGGATTATTTCCCTTCTGAAAAATAAATACATATACATAGGTCTACATATATATCTATATCTATATATTTATACACACTTTTTTTTTTTCTTTTTAAGTTAAGCTGACAACGCTCCTTGCAAGATCCAGGCTCTCCATCCATCCCCCCAGGGATGGATCCCACAGTTTTCAGGGTACCAAGATGAGGTTCAACCCTCCACAAAAGAAAAGCCCCCACGACCCCCGGGGCGCATCCCCCGCCCGCAGCGATCCCGGGGAGGGGAAGCGCAGCGCCCGCGTCCTCCGCGCTGTCCCCGAGCGCTCCCGGCGAGGGCTGGCCCCGTTTCCCCGCAGTGCAGCGCGGACCGCCCGCATCCCCCATCACTCACTTCCTCTTGTACTCGTCGCGCTCCCGCTTGACTTTGGCCAGCACGTTGTAGAGGGCGCGGATCTCGGGGGTGATGGTGTCGATCTGCACCCCAACACCGTCCGGGTGCACCCAGGACACGCCGGGGCCCTGCACGGTCTCCAGGCCGCCGCCGCCGGTGCGCCGCACCTGGGTGTAGCTCCAGATGGTGCCGGGCAGGCGCCCGTAGTGCGGCGGCGACGGCAGCGACCCGTGCCCCGGGCCCGGCGGCGGCACCAGCGGCGGGGTCCCGCCGTCCGTCTGCACCGCCTGGTCCCGGGAGAAGGTCTTGTAGCGCAGCCGGCGGTCGCGCTCGCTCTGCTGGGCCGCCAGCTGCTTCTCCAGCAGCCGGTTCCGCCGCTCCAGCTCGTGCACCTTGGCCAGGAAGCAGCGGAACCGCACGTTCAGCCCCTTGAGCAGATGGATGTTGGAGCCCAGGTCGTTCCGCAGCGCCGCCGTCACCGGCGGGCCCCCCCCAGCCGCCGCGGGGCCGCTGCCGCCGGGGCCCAGCGGGCAGGAGGAGGCGGCGGCGGCGGCGGCGGCGGGGGAGAAGGCGCGGGCCATCTCCCCGAAGAGCAGCGAGTTCATGGCGGAGGGGGCGGTGATGGAGGGGCCGGCGGTGATGGAGGGGCCGCGCCGGTGCCGGTGCCGGTGCCGCCGCTCTCTGCGGCCGCCGTCGCGCCGCGCTCTGAGGGCTCTGAGGGCTCTGGGCGGGACCCCGCGCGCCGCGGCCGAAGCACCGCCCCCGCACCAAACCACGCCCCCAGCTCCATATATCGTCATTTGCATGGCCACGCCCCCTACCTACACACCCCGCCTCCATCCTATAGCCACGCCCCTTATTTCCATACCCGGGCCCTCATTCTCATAAACCCGGGTCTCATTTGCATAGCCCCGCCCCTCGCTGCCGCAGCCGCGGCCGCTCCCTCCGCGTGTCCCAGCGCGGGGTTCGGGTTGTGGGGGGGGGGTGGGCGCTGAGTTTTGGGGAGCCCCGGGGTCCGAAGGTGCTCCAGAGCCCGAAGGGGTCCCCGCATTAATGGGCAAAGGTCTAGTGAAGGAGATCCAGGCCCCCGGCCCCGCATCCCTGCTGCTGGCTCTCCGGGACACCGCAGGATTAATAATCCCCTGCTAATCCCCCTTGGAGCCAGGATGGGACAGTGGGGAATGCTCAGCCGGAGAGGAGAGGAGGGTGTGGGGACATCCCAGGGGGTGAAGGGACACCAGAGGAGCCGGAGGAGGGCTCTGCATCCGGAACAGGAATGATGGGACGAGGGGGAATGGCTACAAATTGAAGAAGGGGAAATTTTGGTTGGATATTGGGAAGAAATTCTTCCCTGTGAGGGTGGGGAGACCCTGGCACGGGTTTTCCAGAGAAGCTGTGGATGCCCCAAACCTGGCAGCGTTCAAAGCCAGACTGGATATGGCCTGGAACAGCCTGGGATAGTGGGAATTGTCGCTGTCCATGGCAGGGCTGGGATGATCTTTAAGGTCCATTCCAATCCCATGATTGCACGATTAGGTCAGATCAGAATAAATTATAAACCTTGGGTTTTGTTATCCAAACAGAGCCCTGCCTAAGTGCTAATAATGCTGATATGATAATAATTAAGTTATTAAATTAGTGTTTCCCAACTGTTACTCCCGGACCTCTGGGCAATCAAAGGATATTGTTTAATTGAATGATGTGATCGCTGCATTGCTCTGCTGGGCAAGGAATGATGCAAGGGAAACACAGGGACAACTCTCAGCCAGGCTGGTGTAAAGCTGCAGGAACACTGTTTACCCAAATACCATTTCTGAAATAAAACAATGGGGCTTGCCAGGTTATATTTATATTTATACTTATACTTATATTTATATTGCCATGTTATTTTCTGTTTATTTTTATATACATTGCCAGGTTAAGTTATATTGCCATGTTATATTTTTATTTTTATATTATTATATTTGTATTTATGTTTATGTTTATATTTATGTTTAACCCCACTTGCTGAAACTCCACCAGCACCTCCAGCCACGCTCAGCACCGAAACCAGGGTTCTTCAAAGGGTTCTGTTAATGTGTTACTAACCTGTGTTTTGCCAGCACCTCCTGGAAAAAAAAAAAATAAATGTGCTGGGTGGAGGTGCTTCATTAAAAGGGTGACTCAAAGAAACACCTGAAGGATTTGTCTCTCCCCCAGCACAAAACCTCCCGAGCTGGGTTTGTGTTTGGGGCTGGGCTTACAGAACCCCCTGGGAGGCTGCGGGGCAGGGCTGTGGCTGCTGCCCGTGGGTGTCAGCGAACAGCGCCAGATTTCCATCCCGAACCCTGCAGGATTTCCATCCCAAACCTGCAGGATTTCCA